GGGCTTCCATTGCCCTGCCAGGATATGTCGCTTCCGGGTTTCAGGGGGCCGTCAGGGGTGTGTGGTTTAGGGTTTTACAGCCTTCAGGGGAATCATAACATTATAGCTCCCCAAGCGTGCCCTGATGCTAAAACCTGGCTACAATAAACCCTTAACCCCTCAGGTCCTAAACCCTAAACCCTGGAACTTGTCATCCGTGGTCCTTCGTGTTGAAAGGCATATCCCGACGCTCTGGAGGGCTCCATGTGGCCTGTACAGTCGGTGGATTCCATTCAGCGCAGACGTAGACCCTTACTCCAAGTACCCTATACCCGTAGGCCCCTAAGTAGTTCCTATTTATGGTTTATATTTAGAATCCTATAAGGTAATCCCAAAAAGGAACTACTTAGGGGCATACGGGTAATTATCATACGCTCTCCCTAGTATTACCCTACCTTGTCCCTACATACCTGCTAACCGAACCCCAAGTACGTTGTTTATTGGGTTCTTCGGACCTGCGTGGGGATATGTATCCAGGCATGTATTGGCACTGTTGTCCTTCAGTACAGATAAATAAAGAAACACACGGAGATGTGTAAACGCGCATTGCTTTTGTCTTCTGAGGTCTGACGAGATTCTAACATCCTTGTAACTGGGAGGAGTTCAGAGATCTGGACTGTGGTTTGCAGCATTTCGCGCTGCATCTCTCTGCTTATCTAGGAGCCCAGCGCGGAGGTAACTTTCATACCAGGGGCGCACGAACCTTGCTCGAATTTCTGCAATTAATCTCCTGAGACTCGCTAGCCCGAGATCTTTGGACACGAAAGAATCCCATTCGCAGTGTGTTTTCCTCGACAACGACTGGACAGCGCACCCCAGACTCCAGACCCCAAATATAGAATCCTGATCTGAAAGTTCCTGCGGGGAGTGGGCATCTGTAGTTCAGACTTGCTGAAAATGAAAAGCTGGCAGGTAGCATAGCAAACCTAACCCAACTTCACCCTGATCCGGACACACGAAATGTAACTTGTAAGGACGATTTGATCATGTTGTATTATCATCACCGTCCTGCACATCAACATGACATCATCATCCACTAAACTCGACACCCGCGTTCCTGCTGTATCATCACCAATCGCCGACCAGCATCAGCCACGCTGTGGTCATATGAGCCTTGATTGCAAGCCCTAACTTTCACTGAGTCCTCCAAAAAACAATAAACGCTTAATGCTTAATCCTGATAACCATTAACCAAACCATTAACCAAACCCTAACCCTAAACCCGAACCTTAAGCTTCTAAACCCCGAAAAAGAGAAAACACAACCTAAATCCCACAGGGCATCATAATGAAGCCGCCGTAACAATTAGAATCGGGTTTGGGGAGATATGAAACGATAACTGTAATCAGAAACACCAAATAGCATTGAGAATTACCCATAGGCTCCGTTGTAGTTCCTTTTGTTGGTTTATATTTAGAATCCTATATAAGGTACTCCCAAAAAGGGACTATGCAATGGAGCCTATGGGTATGGGGCCCCTAAATTCGTCAAACGAGTGGCCTTGCCCGATCCCCGCTTGTAGCTGGTGAGTTTCGTGATGCTTTCCCCGACACTCAGCCTCAGCACATCGGAGCCAACGGGGGGTTTAGGGTTTAGGGTTTATGGGTTTCAGGGTTTAGGGTTTATAAGGGTTTAGGGTTTAGGGGGGAGGATATGGCTGCCGAGGTTGGGTTCACGATTTCGCGTCGGGTTCAGGGTTTGGGCGTCGGGTTCAGGTCTCGATGTTCAAGTTTCGGGTTGAGGGTTAGGGCCTTCCGGCACGTGGTGTTACTCCTTGTTCTCGGTGCTGTATAGTACTATGCTGCAAATCCTTTTTGTGCTCCAGCACTCAGAAGGACTACCGTTGTAGGATCCAAGTTTCTTTCCACCCCGGTTCCGTCATGCCGCAGACTATTGAGAGCTTCACACCATTGCATTGAAGAAGCTGATGAACATACGGTTGAAATGGTGGTAAAGAAAGAAGCAAGGAGTCAGGATTCACGGCATGGTTCTTAGGATAGAGCACTCGGCTCTTTGCAAGGTCTAGCGAAGGCTAGCAACAGTCTGATCCCGGAAGGCTCCAAGAGGCAAGAGACTTCGGAGCCTCTGCCTACCCATCCTTTCCTAGGTTTTGAAGTAACAAAGGAGAACAGAGGCAGAACATGTTATTTCATAACGGTTCCTTTAAGGAACGGGCCCAGAACAAACATTGCAGGATGGTACTCCCTAAACTGCCCTACACCCTAAGCCCACAATGCAAAACATTATGTCCTAAAAACCCTAAACCTTAAACCCTAGAAACCCTAAGCCCGAAACCCAAAATGCTAACCTGAAAACCCTGAACCCACAAAGAACTACGGTTGATGATACAAATCCTGCAGTACCCATAATAAGGAATATATCATAATTCCCGTAGTTTAGGGCCCTTAAGGTAATGCAGGATTTATATCATCAACCGTATCATCAACCGTATGACCCAAGTCCGAAGGCCCCACGAAGTGGTGGAGACCAGCCTTTGCGGTACTTCAAACCTGATGCTGGGACCGAGCTGGGGCCTGAAAATCCGATCTTCCTACCATCTTAGGGTTTAGGGCTTAGGATTTTCAGGGTGTTCAGGGCTTTTAGGGTTTAGGGTTTAGGATTTTCAGGGTGTTTCGGGTTTTTAGGGTTTAGGGTTCTGTGTTTGCAGTGCAGGGCGCTGGCTTGGGGAATTGTAGGGTTGAGAGTTCCAGAGCTAAAACGTTTACATTTAAGTTTTTGTTTGAATCTAGGGGTCAGCATTGGGGTTTCCATGAATCCCTTTGTGCTTTCAGAGCCTACATGGCAGAAGCAAGCCGCAGATTCTTGAACCTTATACTAAATCTTGTAATCCTATACCCCAGCTATAAGCGAAAGCCTAACGCCGATTGAAACAGTGGGATCTTGCTACAGACGTTTCGATCATGTACCTTTCAGGTTCAGTGCTTGAGGTTGAAAGCATTGCCCGGCACTTCCTACTGGTGGCTCTGATCTGTCAAGGAGCTCCACTGAGAGCGAGAGAAACCTCAGCTATGCATTGGGGTAAGGCAGACTATCAGAAACTGGCTTACGGCTTAGGCCTTAGGGTCTTCAGGTCTTCTTGAGGACAAACCCTTAACCCTAAACCCTTCATACTCCTGGCGAAGTTTTCCCCGGGCTCTTTTCGCGATTCCGCGGTAAGGAGGCCCAGGGAGGCGACGAAGCTTAGTAGGCTAGATTTGGGTACTGCCTCCCTCATACGGTGACCGTCTATGATATTTCTACGATTACCTTATCTATCTATGTCATCCTTTAACACAAAAAAACATCATGCAACTTTCAGTCCAAGGAGTCCAGGGTTATTGGAAAGTCGGCTTTTTGAGATCTCCTGTCCCGCACTCGGGTTGGAGGATGTCGCTGTTCCATGACTGCTGCAAGGTATTGGAGGCGATGGACCAAAAAACAAACCCACCAACCCGAAGGAAGAGAGGTCCGACTATGAAAGTTAACGCAGTAAGAACATCGTTGGGGACTTTGTGACCGAATCCATGGGATAAGGCAGTCATCCTATAAACAGCCCCAAACCACCAGAACTTCTTTTCTGACTCCCGTAAACAGGTCCGAACGGACCACATCAATCCTGCAAAGAGGGAAGATCATGGGGGCTCCTACTCCTACATATGGGCCGTTCCAAGTTCTCAACTATGGCCCCGGTCAGGTTCACACGTGTAAGCCTTGTTTTTCTCCTCAAATACCAAAAAACCACGATGAAGAGCAACCTTCAAAGTAAGCCACCGACTCGTGCTTAGAGTTTCTCTTGTTGAATACTGGCTCCGTGACGCAGGAAGAAGGGATTCATGGGCCCAGGGCATGGGGATTCTTTTGCTGGAGCTGACCGGGCTGAAGGGATCTAGGGATGTAGGGTTTTAGGGCCCAGAGCTGTAGGGTGAAGGCTCGCGGTGCCGCACCAACGACTTCAGACCGAATAAGGCCTCAATTCACAAAAACTAGAACCCAAGCTCTAAGCCTTTAAGCCGTCTACCCTGAATCCGAGACCCTAAACCCTGGCAGCTCTAAACCCTCAGACCCGGGACCTTTTTTTAAACTCTAAACGCAGAAAACCGGAACTGCGAACCTCCAAAAGCACAATAGCAAACCCGAGGCACATTGATCCCAAAGTCCGCAGGTCGCCGGCTCTTTCCGAGCACACGTCCACGGACCTGGGACTAAACGGAAGCAGCTTAGGTAGCTCCGAATGCAGACCAAGCACATAACGACTGTCATTCTGCCTTGCCGACAAGTAACAACTTTCCTGCAAGCATACCAACACTGGTCACAGGAAAACCCGGGTTGTTGGTCTACTTGTCCTAGGCAGTTTGCCACCTTTCTGGTCTGAAAACCTATGAGTGGAGTGATTTCATGCAGAACTTGCAAATTGTCGGAGAGCACGGTTGCATGGGCCCGAAGAACAGCTGGCATGGCCTAAACACTAAGCCAAGAGGCTCGATGTTGGCCAGGATCATCCCATTGTGGCAAGTCGTGCCTGGGCGGCTCGTCTGGCTATGAAGTATGGGGCATGTCGACGGTTTAGGCATCCAAATTTAAAGCTGCTAACAATCTGGGAAATGAAAAATTGAGGGGTTCAGGTTCCTAGTTTGTGAAATTTGTCAACCCCGACTGGATTCTTGGGGATGCTAACAATTAGTGCACCCGTTCTTGAAGCTTATCTCGAGCGACAAGCACTTTCTGACTTAAAACTTACTGTCCGTAGCTGCTTTCGGGCATAGCAAAACACCGTTTCGGCAGTCATTGTCTGTGTCGTCAACCTATCTTCATTAACTACTTCTTTTGCTGTTCAGCCTCATGTCATGCCTGCCACATCCCAGCAAGGGCTGCCCAACTCTCAGTAACTCAATTAAGCAAAAGAAAACCCAAGATCTTCACAACAGCACGATGGAAAGTCCCAAATCAGGCAGCTAAGCTGCCATGGTCACCGAAGTCAGTGCTCTCGGTGTGTCCGGACATAGGAGGTTCCTGCTTGGGAATTATCATTCGGAAGAAGGCGAAGATGATGATGATGATGATGATGCTGATGCTGATGAAGGTGATGACGACGATTGTGCCTTCGCACGGATTTTTCTGGCTTGAAAACATTCGGTCTAAATAGGTGTAGACTCAAGACCTGCTTCAGCAGGCGCACACCTCGAAATAAGCAAGATACCATCAGATCAGATTCAGCCTCGGCCCATGAGCCCCCGGCCTGTGCTCCAATCTTTGATTGAGTAGCAGTCTTCGGCGAGTACTTGGCCCGGATATAGCTCTCCTTTGCTGCACAGTCTCTGGAAGCGCTCCACATTGGAGCCTGTACCGCGCTCAAATGTGTATGAGGCTAGCAAGCCACAGCGCGAGCACGCGCCCGCGCACTCACCTACCCAAGCTCCCCCCAACACACACCGACACAGAGAGAGAGAGAGAGAAAGAGACACACAGGCAGACGCACAGACACACGTACACACGCAGAGAGAGAGAGAGAGGGAGAGATAGAGAGAGAGAGAGATAGATAGATATATATATATACACACTTACCTGTATAAACTCCCACGAATGTTGACAAGCAGAATTCCATTTTACAGACATCTTGTTGACTCCAAGTCCCCTCACTTAAGCCAGAATCCTCAAAAAAGGCTGGGGCCTCTGTTCTCATGGTTCAGGATTTTGGAATTTGGGATTTTGGGGATTTTGCCGGATTTTGGGAGTGCCTGCCTTCCCCCCCCGCCCCCCGGGTTCAGGGTTTAGGGTTTAGGGGTTAGAGGTTTAGGGGTTTAGGGGTTTAGGGTTTAGGGTTTCGGGTTTAGGGCTTAGGGATCTAGGACCCTGAACCCTCAACCGCCTTGAGACCCCCAGCAGCAAGGTTTTGTTTATTGGACCCCTGACACCTCCAAAAAATACGCCCAAATCCTCACAACCCCCTCTTAGGGGCTGAGTACCCTAGCCCAAAAAAGGTTAACCTTTCAATTATGGTAGGATTATATATGCCCAAAAAGGTTAAAGGTTACCGACTCAGCTACTACGCCCTTGGATGCTTTCAGCCAAAGCACCAGGGAAGCCCTCGAAGCTCCAAGTGGTGGGGCAGGTGGCGCACCCCCCTGTGTTAGGAGGGCATTCACCTTGCGATTTCCTGGGCAAGCTGCAGGCTCTGGGCGTGTATGCCGCAATGCAGCCTATGCCCTAAAGAACCTACCGTTTTAGGGCTCCTTATCATCATCTCCTGGTATATGTCCTTGAAAAGGTGGGTTCTTCAGGGCCCAGCTCAGGTTTAGAGTTTAGAAGAGTTTAGGGTCTTGGGATTCGATTTGGGATTAATTAGGGTCTAGGGTTTTATAAGGGTTTAGGGTTTAGGGTTTATAAGGGTTTAGGGTCTATAAGGGTTTAGGGTTTAGTCTGAGGGTTGCAGGCACTTTGGGTTGAGGGTCTGATGTTTGGCTTAGGACGCGACTCGCAGGCAGAAGCCGCAGAACAACGAACCCCTAAACCACCGCGAAATGGCACAAACCCTCGACTCTCCACCCTGCACCCCCAAAAAAAAACCCTAAGACCTCAAAGCCACCCAAAAGCCCTAAATTGCCGCCCCAAAACCCTGCAGACAAAGCAGGAAAAAGCCGTAAAGCGTAACAATGCAATGCCAGCGACCGCCCTTGGCGGAGAAGGATTGGAGCTCCTCGAGCTTCCAGCTGTCAAGCTGTGTGGACTTCACCTCTCAAGCTTGATGTCGGGGCCTTTATTTAGGTTTTAAAAAATTTCGGGGCCTTAGTGAAATGATTGGTTCTGGTTAGGTTAGAAAGGGCCTGCGAACCCTACGGAAATATTTTATGAAACCCTCTTGGAAATCCCTTGCGAATCCCTGGACACAAATTCCTAGCAAAAACCCCGAACCCTGAACCCCATGAATCCCGAGCCCTAAACCCTAAGCCCCCTAACCCTAAACCCTGAGCCCCCTTACCTTGTAAAATCCCGATCCTGAAAACCCCCCCGAACCTCGGAGCTGCTGAGGTCCCCCCAAACCCTCGAACCCAAGAGCTATATACTCATAGGCAGCTCTCTAAGGTAAGGTCCCCTTTTTAGGGCCCCTTAAATTAAAAGGGATCTACAGATAAGGGCTTCTATAATGAAAGGGTACTATTATAAGGGGTTCTATATGGGAAGCTCTCTAAATTAGGGTCCCCTTTAGGACCCTGTTTAACAAGGTTGAGGTACTATGTTGGGGACCCAAAACAGGGACCCTGGTTTAGAGAACTACCCTCATGTTGAATCCTCGACTATAGTCTAGCCTTCTTCAACTGCTTGGGGTTCAGGGCTTAGGGTTTATTTAAGGTTAGATTCGTGTTTAAGGCTTAGGGTTCAGGGCCGGGATGAGAATTTACCAAAATCCGAACCCCAAGTCAAGGAAACCTAGGCACTCAAGCCCAAAGCCTCCAAACCCTAAACCCTTAAACCCCGCAAACACTGAACCCTAAACTCTAGACCACGGATCCCAAAAACCCGAAACTCGTTACACCCGAAACCACAAATCCCAAAACCCTTACCCCCGAACCCTACATCCCTGAACCCTGAAGGAACCCCTAACCCTAAACCCCGCAATCCCAGTCCATAAACCCCTAACCCTTAGCCCTAAAGCCCCAAACCCTGAATCCCTAGCCCCGTAACCCATGAACGCCTATCCCTGAAAGCCTAGGGCCCTCAAGCCCCAAACTAAATCCCTCATTCCTGAACCTGGTAACCCAGAAGCTGCCATCCACCCCTAAATCCCAAACCCTGAAGCCCGTAATCCCTAAAGCTTGTTACCCATAAGCCCCCAAAACCCCGAAGCCCCAAAGCCCCAAGCCTTGGCCCTGAAGCCCCACGCCGTAAATCCCTACATTCTGCACCGTCGCAAATCCCTCACCCTAAAATCCTAAACACCCATAAGCCGTTCGGCCTTGGAAATATGAGCCCCCAGTGACCGATGGGTGCCGGCACACTCGATGCAAATGAGCACACCTCGGGTCTCAAGGGAGGTTTAGGGCTTTGGGGCTTTAGGCCTTTGGGCTTCGGGGTTTAGGAATTTAAGACTTTCGGGCATGTTTCGGGGTACTTGAGGGTTTAAGGCTTACGGCCTAGGGTGTGGCCACTTCCGGGCTGGAGAGTAAGTCCTGGAGGGCCTTAAGCTTTGCTTTATGACACAGTGCTCGCCACAGCTCGAAGAAAAATAAGAGGCCTCAATTTCAGTAACAATCTGAACAACACGCCGGGATCACAAACCTCGTCTCCGGAGACTCAGCCAGTCGTGTACTCCCAAACCCTATCGACTCAACTAATTATAGCTGAAAGTTCTTCTTCTTCAAGCTGTTCATAAATTTCTGGAGTTGCGGCACCACTGAGACCAACTGCTGCTGCGGTGCGTCTATGACGACGACTGCGACGACGACGACGACGTGCCACTCTGCTACTTGCTCCACTCCTGCTGCCTCTACTCTACTCCACCTGCTGCCACGACTACTACTTGTGGTACTGCTATTGTTTACTACTCCTGCCACCGCAACCGCAAATGCCAAAACAACTACTGTTACTGCCACCGCTATCTCTCCCTCTCTCTCTCTCGCTCTATCTATATATTCCACGCCTCCCTAACCGTTCTTCCTCTTCTTCTGACCGCCTTCGCAATCTTACGTTTAATTGCAGGGGTGAGTTTTGGTTAAAGGCAAGTAGCTGGTGTAGTTTCTTGCTGTGTCTACGTGTCCCTGCATCTGTCTGTCCGTCCGTGTCGGAGGCTGCTTCAACGGGGAGCTTTAGAGATGCCGTGAGCAAGGTCCGTGACATGCGTCCCCTGTTCACAGGTTCCAGTCGTCTCTTCCAAGCATATGAAGGGGTTTAGGGTTTAAGGTTTAGGGTTTTAGGTTTTGGGTTTAGAGTTCCCGATTCAGAAAGTATATGCACAGCTTCAACAGCGAAACAAACACAAGCCAAAGACAGAACTGACTTAAAGAAACACACAACAGACGGATGCTCCAGACGGACATCTTGAAAAGTGCCATAAGGCCTCGCACTCCACGGGCAGCCAAGCTGCCGTGGTTGACCGAAGCCCACTCCGGGTTCTTGGCACAGCAATCAGCGCACTCCATGTTCCCGGGAAGACGGTGAAGCTCCTGCTTTCGGGATCTCGGGTGCAGTCATTTCGAGAAGTTCTGGAGGCTTCAATTTTGGAGGGATGAGGTGGGCAGGGACCAGGTCTGAGGCTGCGCTGCCTATGCCAATCACACTTTGCTTCCGTAGGAGCCAGTGTCATACAGAAAAGGTCATGAACCAATCTCCGCTAAACCCTAAACCCTTTACCCTCGACCCTAACCCCACTGAAGCTTCAAACCGTACAGTCCGCACAGCCAAGGTCCTAAACCCGACGCCCGAAATCCCAATCTTCAAACGCCAAACCCTATAAACCCTAAATCTTATAATCTGAACCCCGGGACTTAAACCTCAAACTCTAGACTCTACATGCTTGCAGACTTAAGGTTCAAGTGCCTTCTGTTTATAAGGGCTATTATGTTCGCCTTAAGGGGTAGTGGGCCATCTGTAAACCCTAAACCCTGCACCCTAAACCCTAATGCCTAATGCCCCTGAAGCCTATAAACCCTAATCCCCATGAAGCCTAAACCATAAACCCCTAGGTAGTTCCTTTTTGGGATTACCTTCTAGGATTCTAAACATAAGCCACAAAAGGACCTACTTAGGAGCCTATGGGTAAAGCCTAAACCCTAAACCCCAAGAGTCCAAGCCCTTCTCGGCTCCAGAGCACTCGGCGGCGGCTTTGGCTCACCACTGACGGCCGTGTCCATGGTCGCGGCGGGGGCCTGAGGTGGGTGAGCGCTTGAGGGCATTAGTGTTCAGGGTTGAAGGTATAGGATTTTAGGGTTCAGGGTTTAGCCCTTTAGGGTGTAGGGTTTAGGGTTCAGTAACTTCAGATCGAGCAGTTTCTAGTCGAGCTAGCTGCTTTGGTATCAGACATCATCTCATCCACCCAAGATTCCCCTAACATTAGGACACCATTTTATATTTCTTAAAGACAGATGATACAGAGTGTTTAGGGTTTGAGGCTGCAGGGCTGTAAGCCGTACCAGGGGTTTAGGGTTCAACTTGGGAGGGCTTCACGCCCATGGGGTCTGCAGGTCTCTGTCTCTCTCTCTCTCTCTCTCTCCGTGGGTTTAGGGTTTAGGGCTCTCTCTCTCTCGCTCTCTTCTGAGCATCGGGGTTCACGAGCCTCTTCGGTGCCAGGGGATTTCCATGACGGTCTGAGGATTACATCGCTCTGTTTAGGGCCGGGCCGTGCTGTTACTAGGAGTTTTAGGCTCGCAGGTCGGCATCGGATGGAAACTGCTAGATCGCGGGTGGATGCTAAGTGCAGCTGGGAAAGACAACCCCAAACCCAAAATCCAAAAGGCCGAAAAGCCCCTAAACCCTAGTACGCCCTACAAGCCCCAAACCTCAAAGCCCATATCCCCTAAAGCCTATATGCCCTAAAGCCCCAGCCCTAAAGCCTATACATGCCCTACAAGCCCCAAACCCTCAACCCTTCGATCCAAGGAAACCCCAAGGGCCCGGTAGTACCCAAATAGTATAATACTTTGGGCCGTCAAGTAGTCATGTAGGTTTGGGGTTTAGGACTACTTGGTAGTCCCTACATAGGTACTTTGGGGCCAAGGTCTGTACTATTTGGGCACATGGGCCCTTAGGGAAAGATAAAAAACAAGCTGCAGTAAACGTGAAGCGGAAATCTTCCTTGCTGAAGAACGGGCTCGGTGCCTTGGCTGGTGGGGGATCTTTGGATTCAGAAGGCGGTGAGGGTTTGGGGGGTTCGGGTTGGGGGTTTAGGGCCTTTGGGCTTTGAGGGTTGGGGGATTAGGTTCTACACGGTTGAGGGTGCTTGAAAGTTGAGGGTTTACGGATAAACAAACCTTCGAAACCCGACACCTAAAGCCTTTAAGCGGCTTTCAGACTGAGGAACCCTGGGAATCGTACTAGAAGTCTTCAGACCTGTCAGCCTAGGACCTTGCGGGGGCTGCAGATATGCCGGTTGACGACTTCGGGAGACTGGGCCTTTGAAAACGAGACGTAGAAAGCTGCAAAGGGATTTAGGGTTTAGGGTTTAGGGTTTAGGGTTTAGAGGTCCAGGGCTTGGGGCATCGGGTGATGATGGATCCAAGAAAACTCTTTGCATCAAGCCTTGGGTCTACGGCTGAGGTCCAGCCTTGGCGTCGGGGCTTCAGATTTCGGCCGAGGCTCTCTCTGAGGGTCTACCAGTACCTAGGGTTTAGGGTTTAGGGTTTATAACAAAGAGTTGTCCTGTTTGCTGGAAAGCCGTTGCATGCCAATGAGCCAGCAGTGGACGACAACGACGAGTAGAAAGGGCGCCTAAAGGAACTATACAACAACTACCGGCGAAGTAGCAGACCCTAAATCCCTCAAAACCTGCGACCCCCTATATAAACCCCTAAGCAAACCCCCCAACAAAAAACAGGACCCTGAACCCTAAACCCTAAACTAAACCTTTTAAACCTGCCCAGGCACTGGGGCCGTGAATGGAAAGTTGAACTCCCCGGCGCTGTTGAAATAGGGGCTCCCGGCCTGGGCTTTTAGGGCTTAGCGCTTAAAGGCTTCAGGGTTTAGGGTTTTTAGAGTTTAGGGCTGGGAATTGGGCTTTTAGGGTTTTTTGGGGTTTGGGGCTCCCGGCCTGGGTGTAAAGGGGTTTACAGGGCTTAAAGGCTTTAGGGCTTTCAGGGTTTTCAGGGGTTTTAATTAGGGTTTGAGGCTTTTAGGGTTTGGGGCTTTTAGGGTTTGGGGTTTGGGGTGTAGGGCTTGGGGTTTGGGGTTTGGGGTTTAAGGTTGGAAGTCCGTGTGCGCACTCTTGCGCACTCTTGCGTCTTCACATTGGTCCCAATGCCTACGAGTACCATACTCTTTCTGCAAACAGGCGGGGTGCTTAGAACGGCATCCACTTGCATATCCCTAAAGCAAAGCATAATATAATCCTTGTAACTTTTAGGGTTTACTATGGTTTAGGGTATACTGATAGGCTCCTAAGTAGTTCCTTTTTGTGATTGATATTTAGAATCCTATACGGCAATCCCAAAAAGGAACTACTAAGGAGCCTGTGGGTACAGTAGCTACCCGTGAACTTCAGTTAAGGAGTTGATGACGTCTCGGAGAGACCCAAAACCCTAAACCCTAAACCAGAGTGCGTCCGAGCTGCGACGGGCGAGCCGAAAGCCGAGCTTTTCAGCGGGCTCCCGAAGACGGAGTCCTTTTGGGGGGATCTTTAGGGTTCTCTCTAAGAGCTCCTTTAAGGTGGATCTATAGGTAGTTTTCGAAAATAGGGTCCCTTTTGTGGTCCTTTTTTATAGGGGTGCCGTACTATTGGGGACCCAAAAAAGGGACCCTAATTTAGAGAATTACCCTTAAAGGGTTCTGCAAGGAGGTCCTTGATGGGGCTGCCCAGGTTCCTGAGGAACGGGTTGTCGGAGGCCGGGGATGTAGAGATGGTTCCCCGGGCGTGCGGCTGGGTGGGGAGGAAGGGGTTCTCGGAGAGAGGGGATGTGGAGAGGGTTCCTCGCGGATGAGGCGGGGTGGGCTGGGGGAGCTGCGGCTGTGGCTGTGCCGTGGCTCGAGCTCCCAACCGGACAGCGGAAGTGGCCCGTACGCTGGCGTTCGGCATCCCCGCAGTCACAGGGTGTGCCTGTGCCGCCGGTCGGCCGACAGCCACAGGGACGTAGCTTGGGGGATGAGAGCTCTGGGGGACGGGCATGGGCATACTGGCAAAGGCCTGCATGGTGTTTGCGAGCGGCTGTGCCAGAGCTGGGGGTTGGAAGCTGTGCATCGCAGTGGTCCCAGGAACAGCGATGGACCGAAAGCCTCGTCAGTGCATTCCAAGCAGAACTCTTTTCGTATATGGCGTGAGGGTGTTGGGGCGGCCACAGGGTTCTCTTACTCTCAGGACTGATTACGACAAATATCGAGATATAGCAATGTTAGTAATGCTCCGTGCCGCTCTCCTCCTTCTCCTCCACCTCTTCCTCTCCCGGCCTCCTGATGCTACTGCTGCGCCTGAAAGAGATCCTACGACTACACTCACAACAACAACGACTACGACGCGGCTGACGACGACCAGAGGGGTGACGAGGACGAGGGCGAGGATACCGTTGATTACGGCAAAACCCATCACCACGACCACGATAACCATCGCCACCCGTCACCGCCGCCACCCACCACCTCCACCAGCCCCACCACCCCCCAAAATTTCACACCCCCACCACCGTCGCCCCCCCCACCACCCTCGCCTCCACCACCACCCTCGCCCACCACCACCACCCTCGCCCACCACCACCACCACCACCACCACCACCAACACCACCCAAGAGGAGCAAGCAGCAGCAACTGTGGTAGTCGCCGTCAGAGGTGACAGTAGTGCTTGGCTTAGTGGTAGATGCAGAAGCCAAAGCAGTAGCAGCAGCATTAGAATTGCAGCGCCGGTAGCAGTAAGTGGAGGTGGTGGTGGTGGTGGTGGTGGTGGTGGAGGTGGTGGTGGTGGTGGTGGTGGTGGCGCCAGGTGATGCTGGTGGCAATCGCAAATCGCAAAAGCAATGGCTGCGACGGTGGTTCAGGATGTGCTGATGGTGCAACTGACCCTCAAAAATCAGCACGCTCTGAAACGAGAACCATGACGACCAGATGCCTCCATGCCCATATTGCACTGGAGGTACTTGCGCCACTGGTACTTGCACCGGCGGGACTTGCACGGGCGGTACTTGCACTGCTCGTACATGCCTGAGATGCTTCTTTTTGTTGAGTGGGGTCAAGCTGAAATTGAAAAAGCAGTAAATCTATCAACCCGTGACCAGAAAAACCCCGACTAAAGCAGCCCTTATCCTAAGACTTGTTGGGCTCAAACCCAAGCATAGTTCTTGCATTGCAGGGTGCGGCTTGAGGTTCAGCAACTTCAAAGGCTAGGACGTCTGGGGGCCCGTCAGCCCAGGCATCAAAGGCCTGAACAAAGTAAACCCCATTCAAACTCCTCGGAATGCACAATGGAGGGGAGGTCCTGAATAACATATACAAATGATACATATATATA